CCGTGGGCTCAGGCAATCCACTCACCTCAGCCTCCCAAAGGCGTGGGATTACAGGCTGAGCCACCGAGCCCGGCTTTTTTTTTATTTTTTTAGGGTTGGTTCTCTTGATTTTCTGACATTATTATCTTTCTTTCCTTTCATCATTAATACCATGTCTATTTCAGGCATGAAATAGTGTATTAGTTATATACTATTGTTTGACAAGCCGCCCCAAAAGGTAGCAACTTCAAACAACAAAAATGTGTGATCTTACACTTTCTGTTGGTCAGAAATCTGGGCACAACATGACTACGTGTGTCTACGTCAGGATCCCTTACAAGTCTGTAGTCAGTTGTGACATCAGTTCTCTCAAAACTTATTATTCCGGAGACTGACATGTCAAGGCTGAGGCGAGCTTTGACCCTGCCCCTCTGCACCCCTCCCAAAAGAAACTTACTGTACCCACAGAAAAACGCCTATTTCTTAGTGACACACAGATCAATGAATTTTCCCAAACCGAATAGTCCTGTGTAATGGAGACCCTGGACAAGAAAGCACATTATTGTCTATTTTACTTTTTCCATAAAGGAATTTACCAGAAGTGATAGTTCTTCTAATCCATCTACAGTTATCCGAATGTGGACTCATGATCTCAGAAGTGCTACTTTTATCTCATTCTAAAGGAACAGAAATTTGGGTAGGTGAATGCTTAGCCTTTCTGGCTCCAAGACTCAACTGTCAGATGGAGCTAAGGAAATTACTTTTTGTGCATAACTTGCCTGATCTATAAAATTTGATAGCGCATACAGTCATGTACCATATATTATAATTGGTCATAAATGACTTATTGAGTTATATGTTTCCTGACCTATACTTTTAATCATGTAGGCCTTCTTATTGTTTTACAAAGTTAACTGGCAGGTCTTCCTTCAGGATAGACTTCAGAAGGCATTTATTAGCATAGGAGATGACAGCTCCCTGTGGGTTATTGCCCCTGGAGACTCCAATGGAACAATATGTGAACGTGGAAGACAGATACTGATGATTCTGATGCTGTGTAGGCCCAGGCTTCTGTGTGTGCTGATGTCTTCGTTTTGTTTGTTTGGTTTGGTTTTGATCTTGTTTTGTTTTTCAGTTGGAGTCGCACTCTGTCACCCTGCTGGAGTGCAGTGGCATGCTCACGGCCACCGCAGCCTCGACTTGCTGGGCTTAGGCCATCTTTCCGCCTCAGCCTTCCAAGTAGCTGGAACTACAGGCATGTGTCACCACGCCCGGCTAATTTTTGATTTATTGTAGCAACGAGGTTGCCAAAGTTGTCTAGGCTGGTCTCGAACCCGTGGGCTCAGGCAGTCCTCTCACGTAGGCCTCCCACTGTGCTGGGATTACAGGTGTGAGCCGCTGCCCCCAGCTGTTTTATCTTTTATAATATATCCTTTACTGTACCTTTTCTGTGTTTTGTTGCACAGGCAGGTACCATTGTGCTACAGTAGCCCACAAGATTCAGGACAGTCACATGCTGTGCAAGTGTGTAGCTTGGGACTCATCGGCTCTGCTGGATAGCCTCGGTGTCGGGTGGGCTGTCCCGTTTCGGTTTGTATAAATCACCTAACGATGCATTTCTCAGAATGCATTCCCTTCAGTAAGCGGCAAGACTGTATCTTAGGCTTCAGGGGTCCTGTGATGTGTTGCAACACTCTGTTCGTGTAGTGAGAAGGCAACCATGGGCAGTAAATAGACACTAAGTGGTTGTGTTTGATCAAAACTTTGTAATCATTGAATTTTATATCATTTCCACATGCCAGAAAATAATTATTATTCTTTTTGTTTTGTTTTGAGTCGGAGTCTCACTCTGTGGCCCAGGCTAGAGCACAGTGGCACACTCATGGCCACTGCAGCCTCAACCTGCTGGGCTCAGACAATCCTTCTGACTCAGCTTTCCAAATAGCTACAGGTGCGCACCACCACACCTGGCTAATTTTTTTATTTATTGCAGGGACGAGGTCACATCAGGTTCCCGGGGCTGGTCTCAAACCCATGGGTTCAGGCA